CTATAAAAAGCTTATGAAGGAAATTGAAGAAGACACAAAGAAATGGAAAAACATTCCATGCTCATGGATATGAAGAATATATATTGTTAAAATTTCATTACTACCCAAAGCAATCTACACATTCAATGCAATCCCAATCAAAATTACACTGGCATTCTTCGCAACGCTAGAACAAACTATCCTAAAATTTGTATGGAACCACAAAAAACCCTGAATAACCAAAGTAATATTGAAGAAGAAACCAAAAAAGGAGGCATCACCATCCCAGACATTAGCCTCTACTACAAAGCTGTCATCATCAAGACAGTATGGTACTGGCACAAAAACAGACACATAGACCAATGGAATAGAATTGAGAACTCAGAATTGGACCCACAAATGTATGGCCAACTAATCTTTGACAAAGCAGGAAAGAGTATCCAATGGAAAAAATACAGCCTCTTTTACAGATGGTGCTGGGAGAACTGGACAACAACATGCAGAAGAATGAAACTAGATCATTTTCTCACAACATACAAAATAAACTCAAAATGGATAAAGGACCTGAATGTGAGACAGGAAACCATCAAAACCCTAGAGGAGAAAGCAGGAAACAACCTCCTTGAACTCAACCACAGCAACCTCTTACTTGACACATCCCCCAAAGCAAGGGAATCAAGAGCAAAAATGAACTATTGGGGCCTCATCAAGATAAAAATCTTCTGCATGGCAAAGGAAACAATCCATAAAACTAATAGGCATCTGATGGAATGGGAAAAGATAGTTGAAAATGACATATCAGATAAAGGGCTAGTATCCAAAATCTATAAGAAACTCACAAAACTCCACACCTGAAAAACAAATAATCCAGTGAAGAAATGGGCAGAAGACATGAACAGACACTTCTCCAAAGAGGACATCCAGATGGCCAACAGACACATGAAATGATGGTCAGCATCCCTCCTCATCAGGGAAATACAAATCAAAACCACACTGAGAAACCACCTTATGCCAGTCAGTGTGGCGAAAATGAACAAATCAGGAGACTCTAGATGCTGGTGAGGATGTGGAGAAATAGGCATCCTCCTACACTGTTGGTGGGAATGTAAACTGGTGCAGCCGCTCTTGAAAACAGTGTGGAGGTTCTTCCAAAAATTATCAATAGAACTCCCCTATGACCCAGCAATAGCACTGCTAGGAATTTACCCCAGGGATACAGGAGTGCTGATGCATAGGGCACATGTACCCCCAATGTTCATAGCAGCACTTTCAACAATAGCCAAAACATGGAAAGAGTCTAAGTGTCCCTCAACTGACGAATGGATCAAGAAGATGTGGTTTATATATACAATGGAATACTACATGGCAATGAGAAAGAATGAAATCTGGCCATTTGTAGCAAGGTGGATGGAACTTGAGGGTGTTACGCTGAGTTAAATAATTCAGGCAGAGAAGGACTGATCATATGTTTGCACGTATAGGTGGATTAGGAGGAACTTAACGGAGCACCATGGGGGAGAAGAAGGGGAAAAATAGTTGGGGAGAGGGGGGGAGGCAAACCATGAGAGACTCTTGAATGCTTAGAACAAACTGAGGGCTAATGGGGGTAAGGAATAGAGGAAGGGTGATGATGGGCATGATGGGCATGGAGGAGGGCATTTGTAGGGAAGAGCACTGGGTGTTATATGGAAACTAACTTGACAATAAACTATTTAAAAAAAAGAAAGAAAAAAAATATGTCATATGGGGCACCTGGGTGGCTCAGGTGGTTAAGCGTCTCACTTCAGCTCCAGTCATGATCTCACGATTCATGGGTTCAAGCCCTGTATGAGGCTTTCTGTTGTTGGTGAGGGGCATTTGTCTCGCTATCTCTTCCCCTCTTCTTTTATACTCTTTCTCTCAAAATAAATAAATAAACATTTTTGAAATGCCATATATATGACATATATATACACACATAAATGAATTTTATATACACACTTTTAATATATATACACTTTTAAGATATACACACTTTTAATATGTATATTACACACTTTAATATATTTATTGTATTAAATACAAACACACAAACCCTAGTCGTTCTGTTTCTCTGAAGAGCCCTAGCACAACCTTATAATGGAAGAATATTCTTCCCTACAGAGCCACCAGAAAAGCCAAGCTGTGGATGTCTCATTCCTCACCTCGATAAATAGGCCACAGCAGCCAACAATGGTAATACTATTAGAAAGTATGTGATATTTGAAAATAAAACATTACTGAAGTATTCCTACTTATATAAGAGGTCTGGAACAAGTAACCAAAAATGTAAGAGATGGGGTGGGATGGAGTATTAAGGGTGCAGGAGAGAAGACCAAGGTGGTCCTGAGCAATCCTATGAATTTTTTTACAGGGTTATGTACATTTTTTAAGTTTATTTTTGAGAGAGAGAGAGCACAGGAGGGGTAGAGCGAGAGGAAGAAAGAATTTGAAGTGGGCTTAGCACTGTCAGTGCAGAGCCTGATGTGGGGTTTGAACCCATGAATGGTAAGGTCATGACCAGAGCTAAAATCAGGAGTAAGATTCTCGACTGGTTGAGCCACCCAGATGCCCCTATACTTTTTTACATTTTGTAAAAACTCAAAAGATTATATAATCACAGATGATTATATCTGATTTCTTCCTGCAGAAAGTATTCACACCACCTGAGACAGATGCAGGTGCTGCCTCCTCCCACCAAGGCTCACAGCTGTGACCACACACACAGTCTGCCACTCGACCTCCAATACTTATCAAATATGCTAAGTGACAGCTAGTCAAGCAGTAAAGAATTTTGCTTCTTCATTCTCATTGACTTAAATGCCAAGGTGGTCCTGAACCATCCTATGAATTTTAGGGCCTGTGTTCTTCTCACGGCGGCCACATATACTTAAGATCATCTTTGTATGAGATTCACAGACAGAGGAAGCAGAAGGTGTAAAAGAAGAGACTTTCAGAATTTCAAAAAAGTTCCAGGATCACAGACATTCTTTTCCAGTGTACAAGCTAAAGACATTTTAGGAAAGCTTAGAACAGGCTTGGTATATGGAATTGGTATTAGGAAGTGAAAGGGGATTTAGGATTTATTAAGCACTATCATGGATAAAGACCTAACCACTTGCTCAGGCTGGGGATTGGTGCTCAGCAGTCTTCTGTCTCACCCTGCAAAGTCTCCTGGACTCTGCCAGTTCGGTGCTCACAGTCTGCACAAAAGAAAGCTAATTCTAAAGGGAGTGTGTAACCTGGACAGGGCTAAAGGCCAAGGCCTCCATCTCCTGCCTTTTTTGTGCCTTTCTTGCCCTTGCACATCCCTTTTCCTCCTTTTTTCCCAGGGATTAAGAACCGAGGCTCTGGAGCCAGACTCTGGGATTGGAATGAATATTTTTTCCTGATAATTATTTGCTATGTATGACCTTGGGGAAGTTATTTACCTCTTTGTACCTCAGTTTCCTCAGCAGCAAAATGTAAACAACAGTACTGCCTAGCATGTGGGGTTGTGAGGATGAAATCAGTTCATGTACAACACTTTCTTGAAGCAGTCCTGGCCCGTGGTACATGTTGGTGTCAGCCCCTTACTAACCCTCTCAAGTCTCTGACTCTTCCTTCCAGACCCAACAGGTGGTAAGTTGCTTTTGGTTCATTTATTGCATTTTTCACATGGCATAGAAAGCACCTATTTACGAACCTGCTTTCCTCTAGATGGAGCAGGAATCACACATTCTCATTATCTTTCCCAGCACCCAGTGTCAGCACACAGCAGGCACTCAATAACTGTGGATTGAGTGCTTCAAGACATAACTAATTCTAACAAGGAGAGTGTGTTACCTAAGGGCTACTGGTTATGAATGGCAACGGCAATGCAGTAAAGTGAAGCTCTAGGTAGAATTCTGCAAAGAAACACAATTCACCCTTTTGGTGTACAATCAAGTCCTGAGATTTTTTTTTTTTTGGTCTAAATTTGTTTGCTTTGAAATCTTTCAAATAAGGTCACTTTGTTTACATACTTGCCCCTCTTAATGGCACAGAGTCGTAAATATAACAAAGCTGATTGAATCCATGTTACTTTTTCCCCAGGAGACCAAGATTCTGGAAATATTTATGAGCAATCTTCTATGGTTACTTTCAATTATCAATTGCACACATAATGCATAATTATTAAAGAATCATTTAAAAAATGCCCTTCCAAGTACAAACAAGAGCAAAGCATCAAGCAGATGTTGCAACTACATTATTGAGGTCTGGCTACCCCAAAATAAATTTCCCTTAAATACAGAAAGGATAACAAGATGACTGCTGGACTAACCCTGGTCTCAGGCATGTGATTTGAGCTCAGTTTAAAAAACCTTTTGTGGAAAGTGTTCTTGTGAAACACCCTACTAAAAAGCAAGCCCATGAGGTACATTCATGAGTTCGTCTAAGTCCTGAGGTGTTTACTGAGGAGACACAGGAAGGAGCCAGACAGACACGCATATGTACACACCTACTCATCCTATATCAGACCAGTTAAGGAACTCAGTAAAATTCAGTCTTTTTCCTAACTGACTTTTGTTATTCCCATATGAAATATCCACAGATGTTTCAGTTGGATCACAGATGTCACTGTCAGGTCAGAATAATAAGAGCCATATTTTCCAGTTAAGCATAAAGAAAAAGAGATAGTAAAGGAATTCAAATATGCTAATGCTCTGTAATAGAAAAGAATAGGTGAATTTGTATTTGATGTTTCCTATCCACATACACTTCTCACTTACTTAAAAGACTTTGGGAAGATGGGTCCAAGTTCAAATGGCTACTATTTAGAATGAAGAACACTAGGAACCTCCTAGAAAACAGTTCTTCCTTGCAGTGCCAAAAAGCACACCTGAGTTGAATATTAAGTGAAATGAGTTACTCTGAAAGTCGAAAGAAAAATTGCTGAAAGGTTCAGCTGGTTTTGAAAGGTTCTGATGGTTGAGTTATATGAAAAGCAAACTGGGGAGCAGGCTCCCCAGGAATTTACTCACCACTATATCCTCAGGGAATGTGTCTCTGCTGAAGGAGCCGTCATCAAAGACGACCTCATAGAAGGTCTGCGATGTCACAGCGATCACTCTGCAGCTGTAATACCGCGTGTTCCGATGCTTTGTGATGACTGTCTGCCCAACACAGATGCCCTTCTCGGCAGCTTTGGACTTCTGTCAGAAGGGGCACACAAAGATGAGAGAAAAGAAATAGAAAAAAAGAAAGACAAAAGGTAGAGACAGAAAAGAAAAGGTATACTTATTTGGGAAAAAGTAATTCATGATTTTTAATTCTAATTTTTAAACTTTATTGGGGAATAATTTCAAACTTAAAAGTTACAAGCATATGAGTAGTACAAAAACACCCCTATGTTCTTGACCCTTTGCCCAGATTTACCTATTGTTACCTATTGATATTTTTAACATTTTACCATTTCCATTTTTTTCGTATTCTGACTCTATTTTACATATACGTAAATTTACATACTCAATGTTTTCCATATGTAACTCCTTTGTTTAGAAAATACACAACTCACACACACACACACACACACACACACACTCACCATCACAGATCTTTACTCCTAAATACATCAGTTGTGTATTTTCTAAGCATGGCAATGTGGCTTCACATAACCATAATATGGTTACTAACTTTAGTAAATGTAACATGGATACAACTTATGTTCTAATTTTGTCAACTGAGCCAATAACAATCTTCAACGCCTGCCACTTCACCCCACCAGCTCCGTCCTGCCCTGCCCTTGCTCTCCAGCACAGAGTCCAGGGGAGTCAGGGTCTGCGCTATGCTGCTGCTTCTCTTTCAGCCTCTGTTAATCTGGAACATTTTCACAGCCAGTCTTGGTCTTTTATGATTGTGAGTGATACTTCCGAAGGACGCAGTTCCCCTTCTCCCTTTTTTAATAGAGCATTTACCTGATGTTTCCTCATGATTGGATTCAAGTTTATACATTCCTGGCCAGAACACCACACAGATAATGTATTCTTCTCAGGATAGCACATCTGGAGGCACATGATGCCTGTCTGCCTCTCAATGGTGATGTTAATTTTGATCCTAAACAAACTGTAGTCCAATTCCTCCACATTACAATAATTATTTCTCCCTTACACCTAATCGGCAATCTGTGGGAGAAACTTGAATGCCGCCCAAACATCCTGTTCCCATACATATCTGCTCAGCTTTAGCACCACTGACAAGTCATGCCTGATCCTATCTTTACTATGATGGTGGTGATATGCCGATTACTCCTGCTCTCACACTCCCTCCACACTTAATATCTGGCACTTGGCACTCCCCCCACATCCTGCTCTTGTGTGGGAGGGGAGGACAGAAGGCAGGAGACTGCAGAAATGGTCAGGGGCACAGGTCAGGGTCCATGAGGGGAAGAAGGGAGGAGGGCATTCCTTTGCCATCCTAACAGGTCAGGACAATATCCTGTGGGCCTAAGGAAACCACTGAGAGGTTTATGTATAGAAGAGAAATGATGTAGGTCTATATGGCTGTAGGTGGAGAAGGTGAGTGGGGAGCTTATCACAATGGGTCCAGTGGAAGATGAGGGCCTGGAGTAAGGAACTGAGGACAAAGGTACTCATGATTTGGATACAGGGGTGACTCCTTTCCAAAAAAGTGTCCCTATAGCCTCCTACATGTAAAGTGTGCTCTGTATTTTTCTCCTTAATACCATTCCCCAGTGACTGTTGGGTTGGTTGGGGAAATTTTCTTTGCTTTTTGATGTAGTTAGGTGTGTGAACATCTTGACAAAGGACAACAGTAAAAAGGCTGTAGTGATTAACTGCACTATGATTGAAGTAGACATCATTAATAGCTAGGCCACAGTATGTGACATATATTGAAATAATACCTAGTTTCCTGTTTCATTCTCCACCCAACCCCTTTAAATATATCTCACTTTTCAAAGTAAGAGAATGACTTAAATGTAGTTAGCAATGAACACGAGTGAAAGCAGTCTGCAGTTACATAACTCCAAAATTGGGCCTGCGACTGCTCCTAAGGATCCTATAGGCGGCAGCTAACTGTAGGGGGCGACATTACAACCTGTGTGGCCAACTAGAGTGGCCCTGAGGGACTTCATGCTGGCAGCAATTTTTGTAGATGTCCCTCTCTGTCAAACTGACTTAAAAACACTCATCATCAGGACTGCAAGTACTACATTTTACTATGATATTAGTTCCTGTGTACATATTTTATTAAAATTGGAATTAACCCTCTAAGGAAACAATGGTGTGGATTCGAATTCTAAGCTCCGCTACTTACTAGCTGTGTGATCTTGGGATCTTGAACCTTTATCAGCCTCAGTTTGTTCATCTGTAGGAGGGATAATACTTACATTAAAGGTTTGCTACAAAAACAGGATACAGTACATAAACTACCTAGATTTATGGGCAATTGGTTCTTAGCCACTGTTAACTGGTTTCATTTTTGTTAAGTGGAGAACATACCTAAGACCCTAGCCCAGGTTAATAAGCCACTCTTTTCTGCTGTCCCTCAGTAATTGGCATGTATGACTGTGCAGCACTCTGATTTCACACAAATGGCTGAATCCAGCCCCAAACCATCACTGTTCTGCTCTTTATCTCATCCACTTTTGATTCTAATTCTTGTCAAACATGGGCACAAAGCTATGGTCCTTAGGAGGGAAGACATGTAATGTGGCCTCCACCCCACTCCCAACTCTCTTCAAGCCCTGCCCAAATAAACTTTCAGGGACAGGTCCTCCCACAGCAGGGCAAAATCCATGCATCAGAGACAGGCGTACATGTCTTTTCTTCCATAACACCTGCCTCAGCATGTACAACACTGTTGCTGCTGGATGAATGATGAATGAATGAACAAGTGAAAGAATGAATTTTTAAAGATGAATGAACGAACTGTAAAGGATGGTTAAAGACACATTTTCAAAATGGGAGTGGACTAATTCTAATCATTCGTGGTCCAGAAAAGGGAAAAGAGAAACGAAGGGAAGTTTCAGGAAGATGTTCCTCTTTCTTAGAGGGGGTAAGCATGTATACGAGTAGGGGAGGGAATAAAGAAAGTTTATGGTAAAATTCACAGGGTCTGGAAAGTGGAGGTGACCAGTCATGGGAAAAGAAAAGTGATACAGACTTGAGAGAGAAAAGGTTGACTCTAGACTACAGCTACCTTCTTCCTACTTAGGACCTGAAATTTATGTAAACTGGCTAGTTGAAAAGATGGCTAGCATTAAATACATAGCCTTCATCCAAGTAAAACTTTCCATGAGATGCAAGCATGACCATTTCATGGGGAGTACTGAGGAAAACAGATTTTTTTCCATAATGCTATTGTGATAGGATTTCTGATTTATTTTTGCAGAGAAAATTTATTGACAAGCATTTCCCATAACTGATTATACATTCTCAAAAATATTTCCTGTCAGAAAAACCTAAGGATCTATTGATGTTAACAGTGAGGCTCTATCAGATTATAGAAATAGCTATGGTATTTTGAAGATTAGTACACAGGCTAAGGCTGAGAAAGTTAAATTTCCTTCAACATGCACTAAGCAGAAATGAACAAACAGCAGTTTAAGGGGGAAAAAATAAGCACAGTTTCTTTTTTTTCCCCAAATCAAACTTGTGAAATATTTATTAGCTCAGATGACATTATTAATTTCAAAAATGGTAAAAGTAATTGGAAAACTTTATTTATTTGTTTTTTTATTTGTTTATTTATTTATTTATTGGCATCACCCAATCAGATAACCTTTTCTTAAAATAGCTTATTGTCAAGTTGGTTTCCATATAACACCCAGTGCTCATCCCCACAAGTGCCCTAAGCACAGTTTCTTTTAAAGAAAGCTAGAGCCAATTTGAAATGCTGGGGATGCGAAAAAAATGTTAAATAAGAAAATATTATAGACATTCCATAAAAGCGTCAAAGAGTTCCTGGGGCATAAGTACACATGTGGAGTTACCAACACATGTCCATATACCTGAGCTAATTAAATTCTCCCAACAACTCTGTGAGGTAGTTGCATTTTCACTAAATAGATGAGGTAGCTCAGGTACACAGTCAAGGGACTTTCCCAAGATCTCAGAGATGGTGAGAGGCTATAGTAAGGTTCAGAGGCAGGCACTCTCCTACAGAGAGTGCCTTGGTATCATCAACCAGGAGAAGAAACATAGACAGAAATCAGAGGATAAATAAAACCTACCAGGAAGTGCACTTAATGGAATTCAAGCAGTTGCCTACAGAAGTTACATTTTCTTTTCCTTTCTTTTCTGATTTATTGAGCACCTCCTCTGTTCTACACCCTGTTGAGATACTTCTCAGGTAAGAAATCATTTAACCACTACAGTATAGTCAGTATACTTCCCAGTATACACAGAGTTGAATTGGCAACTTAGATTTGGAGCCTCTCTGGAGATGAAAAACATAGAATGTATAATTGCATATGCTGTCCATTTTTATCCATGTACACATGACACATACACACACACACACACACACACACACACACTGGTATGTTGCATAAATGCCCACAAATCTTCATTCCTTCCTGTTTTCACATCCTTTTCAGTGTGACCTTGCAGCTCTTCCTTTCAGGATCTGGACCCTATTTCCTCACCCTTAGAATATGGGCTCACCTTGTGGCTTAGCCTGTCTTAGCCAAAAGAATACAGCTGAAGTAATGGTATGCCAATTTAAAGCCTTTGCTCAAGAAGCCTTGCACAAGAATTGCTGCTTCTTTCTAGAGGCCCTAGACTGTTATGTAAACAAACTCAAGTTATCCTACTGGAAGATGAGAGATCACATGGACCAGAGTTGAGGTGCTAGACATGAACTCAGCCAAGAAAAGGCAAGCTGTTCTGCAGCTGATCATAGATGAAGGAGGCAATCTGCCTGGAACAGAAGAACCACCCCCATGAGCTCAGCCTAAATCTGTGACCTACAGAATCGCCAGCTAAAGAACTGTCATTGTTTCAAGTCACTACATTTTGTGATGGTTTGTCACACACACACAACTAAGAAAAAAGGACACTAAGAAAATATATACTAAACTGCTAGCAGATATAACTCCAGGTAATGGGATTTTGCTTATTTGCTTCTTTATGTACTTTCCTGTACTTTTTATTATGTATTTCTTTAATTATTAAAAACACTAAATGTAATAAAATACAAGAGTTCTTGAAATTTTCTAAGTTCCTTAAATAACAAGCAATCCATAGTCAGGTCTACTTAACTGAGACACTCAAAAAAAAAAAAAAAAAGCTGAAGCCAAATGATTTAGTAAGGAAAGACTACTCTCATCATTTATCTTTCACTTAAATAAGATGAAAAAAGGACTTGAAGAAATGAATATTTTGTAAAGTCGAATGATACACAAATTTAGTTACAAAATTTCATGTGACTTTATTTATACCGCCTATATTTAGGCCAAATGTGATATAACAAAAAAGGTACCTAAACACTACTGATTCCCAAGACATGGAAGATAAACAGATGATGTTCTCAGGTTTGCGTTTCTATTTAAAACAACAACAACAACAATATAAAAACAAAACCCCTCAACAAATCTTTTTGTACTCCTTGCTATACCTATACTTTCCATCATACTAAGCCACCTCTAAGGGGCAGCACAAGTAATAGGATCCAGTTGTTTAAAGGTAGAAGTGTTTTCTCTCCCTGATACTGTGTTGCCTTTAGGTGTAGGATTAGAAAGGAAACAGGCCCTTATTACATAGTTCTCTAACTTTTCTGAGACTTTACCGATGTTTAAATAGATGGCCATGCTTGAAAGAAAAGATAGCTAATTATCAATGGCCACAATACGAATAAAGAGAAACAGATGTTTCTAATGCCTGGTCTGGTTCATCAAAGGCACTCCAACATCCAATAGGCTAACTCACACAAAAAAATTAAAGCCAGTGTTGACAAAACAGGATGAAATAAATCATTACTGCTTACCTGATGAGTACACTATAGCAGTAAATCCTGAGCCAAAGAGTTAAGAACCAGATGGCAAGCAATGCAAAGAGGAAAAGCAAAGCAAGGATGGACATGGAGTAGGGGGAAAAAAAAGTGGTATTTAAATAAGCAGTCACTGAGTGCTTGTTATAAGTAAGGCACCTTGCTAGGTGCTGAAGATTAAAATACAAGAAAGAGAGAGTCCCTTCTCTCAAATAGCTCACAGGCTAGAGGCAAGTCAGACATAGCGACCGAAATGCAAAGTATTGAGAGTGTCTGGATGAGGGCAGGAAGGGACCCTCACAGGCTTCACTACAGGGAACATCTGAACCAGGTCCAAGGAAGCAAGGACGTAGTCTTATACACATGCAAGGAAGGCTGACTGAGAATGGAGTGTCTGGTGCCACAAACCTCTGACCTTTGCCACCTTGTCAGCTTGTGGGCACCTTGTCAGAACAATGTTTTTAAGTGCATAAGATAAAACAAGAAAAGATTACAAAAGAAACCAATTATGCTGAAATAATATTGAAAAGTAAATTTGTGGTATAATATCTGTGCTTCTTTAATAATGTATTAAATACTACTATCTAGTGGCAAGCCTAATAACTATTAATATTCTAATTTCAAAGTTGCGATATAAGCAATATTTTAAGATCTCTGTTACAATGGTAATGTGTTCTCTATTGTGGACAGAGTCACAGAAACTGTTAATGCCACTGCAGCCTCAAAACTGACAGAAATGTTAAATTCTCACTAAACTTAGTAGAAAACAATGGTAAATCTTTCCTCATCCTCTAACAGACAAATTTTCCTTGATATTGAAATATAAAAAAGATTATATCACCTGGAATATTTAAAGGCACAGCAGTAAACCTTCTAACAGCCTTATTTAAAAAATCGCAATAATATTACTTATATAATATTGTGCTTGTATATGGTGAAGATAAAAGGATACAGTAGATAAATGAAAATCAATGAAGGCATCTCTGTGAAGGGTGAAGTTATGGAGACTAAAATGGATAATTTTGAGGTGACCTACACTGACACAGGAATCTAACTTAAGTATTGAGGCTGGAAGGTGCACTGCATTTTCAAATATCTTTCTCCCCCATTGGGTTTTTGAGAGCAGAGAGAAGTTAGTTCACATAAGACCCCTAAAGCAAAGACTCAGGGGGAAGAAGTTCTGTGTGGCAGAAGGAAGGAAGATTCCTATGCTTTGGCAAGATCTTCTCTGACCAGACCTGGGAAAGGCTTAGCTTCATTGAAGAGTCACTCACCATCCAACAAGATGAGTCATGGGCAGAGGTGTCATCTTGGAAAAATCTCTGACTGGGTTCTCCATCTATATAATAATGTTAATAAAGGGTGTAAATCCAAAT